TAATCCAAACGTAAGTATTTTTACATCTTTTTTAATCGAGGTCTTATTAAACTTCTGCTCGTCCATTTTTTCCAGACGTTAAGCATCGCTCGAGGTCGCTTTGAAAGGGAAGGATGAGTCCTCCAAATTGGCTGACCTCGAGGACTCCCTAGCGGCTCAAGATAGAAGAATTGCCGATCTTGAGGCCGAGCGTGCTCAGCTGCTGAGGAAGCGTGAGCAAATGAATAGTGAGCTCATAAAAGCTCGAGAAGAGGTTGGTGCGATGAAGGATGAGGCTGAGGAGGTAAAGCTCGAGCTTGAAAATACTCATAGGGATTATGAAGGGAGGTTGGTTCAAGCTCGGGCTGACTCAGTTGAGGAGTTCAAGAAGTCTGACGTCTTTAATAAGCTCGAGGGTAAATACGCAATGGGCTTGTACTTTCATGCCCTAAAAGAGGCTCGAGCATTCATTCGCGCGAAGCTAGACACAACACCCGAGGACTCGAAGACTATCCCACAGGTGGCTGAGGACCTCACCCTCTCGGAGTCCGAGGAGACTGTTGATGATGAGGTCGACATCGAGGGTGATGACGTTGAGGAAGATCAACCTAACCAGAATACCGAGGACTAGACTTTTTGATTATTTATTTTGATCATGACGACATCAGTTTTGTATTTTGAACACTATTTTGCTCGATCTTACTTAATGTTCAATGTATTAATGTTTTTTCACTTTCATGGTGTATGGCTAACGTCTTTGGCAACTTGACGATCAGGACAAATAGCTTGACATTAAGACAAGTAAATAAGTAACTCAATGTTTAAGTATTAATCTCAACGCTTAAGATGGATAAATTATTAGCTCGACCCCTAAGATGAATTGATAACTCGACGTCTAAATATTAACCTCGACGCCAAAGATGAACTAATAACTCGATGTCTAAGTATTAATCTCGACGCTTAAGATGGATAAATTATTAATTCGACCCCTAAGATGAATTGATAACTCGACGACTAAATATTAACCTCGACGCCAAAGATGAACTAATAACTTGATGTCTAAGTATTAATCTCCATGCTTAAGATGGATTAATATCTCGACGTCTACAATGAAAGGCTATCTCGACGGAGTAACCCATAGAAGTTTCAGACAAAGGTTACTACTCAATCTTAGGGTCGTCCTTGAATTGGGAAATTATCTCGAGAACTAAATGCAATTGTCCCAACCTATCGATTCCCGAGGATAAGGATGTGTGTTTTTATAGGATTCATTTCATTGTTGGTCGGGCACAATGAGCTCGGGAATTTCACTTGGTACTGTGTCTTGATATTATCTTTATGCACTTGCTCGAGGCAAGGATAGGGTTGCTTGCTTGGGGCAAGGCTTGAGTTGTTTGCGCGGGGCAAGGCTTTTCGTAGTGGGATCACATTTTGATAAATAGCTTAATTCTTATTATACTTTAAAATATACTTGCCGCGCAGGCCTGATAACTGAAAACGTGAACCTTGATGCGCAGGCCTGACTACTGAAAACTAGAAGGACAAGTTACTTGTAATATATTTTTAAATTCTCGACGTTCCATGGTCTTGGGAGTAGTCTTCCTGATGTATCCCTTAAACTGTATGCACCTCCTTGAAGCTGTCATATGACTTCGAAGGGCCCTTCCTAAATTGGTCCTAGCTTGCCCGGAGCATGACCTGCTGTTTCAGCCCTTCTTAACATAAGGTCTCCGGCCCTGAATCTCCGAGTCCTTACTTTTTTATTGAAATACTTTGCTGTTTTATTTTGGTAAGAGGCCATTTTTAGAGCTGCCTGATCGCGAACTTCTTCCAAAAGGTCGAGGTGTTCAGTGGTGCGCCCTGCATCTTCGGGCTCAAGCCTTCTTTGGCTGGGCAATCTGACTTCAACAGGGATGGTAGCTTCAATACCGAAAGCCAACATGAATGGGGTTTTCGTCATAGCTATTTTGTGGGACATTCTATATGTCCAAAGTATGGAAGGTAACTCGTCAGACCATGAACCTCTTGCATCTCCGATCCTTGTACGGAGGTCTTGTAATATAATCCGATTGGTTATTTCGGCAAAAGCATTACTTTGAGGATGGGAAACCGATGTCAGACGGTGATCGACCCCTAGGTTGGAACAGAAGTTTTTAAATTGTGCATTGTCAAACTGCCTGCCATTATCAGTTATGAGGACTTTTAGTATCCCGAACCTGCATATGATGGATCTCCAAATGAAACTTCTCAACTGAGGCTCTAAAATTGTTGCTAAACCCTCGGCCTCCACCCACTTAGTGAAATACTCTACAGCCACAGCCACAAACTTCAATTGTCCCCTAGTTATCGGAAAGGGACCAAGGATGTCAATTCCCCACTGCTCAAACAGGGTTGTGCAACTAATACTAGTGAGGTCCTCTGCGGGATGGTGGATGACATTGCCAAATCTTTGGCACTTGTCACACTTCTTGACATATTCCTGGGCATCTTTCTTCATGGTTGGCTAATAATATCCATACCTTATGAGCTTGAAGGCTAATGTCCAAGTTCCTTGATGGTTCTCACATATTCCTTCATAAACCTCTTTTAGGGCCTGGGATGATTCAGAAGGCCTAAGGCATCTTAGGTATGAAAGTGTGAGGCTCCTACGAAATAAAACTCCTTCAATCATGCAATACCTTGGAGCTTTGGACCGGATGCTTCTTGCTGCTCGAGGATCTTCTGGAAGATTGCCATGTTTATGAAGTCCACTATTGGGTCCATCCATGATGGCTCATTATCAATATCCATGACGCCTATGGTTTGATTGATGCTTGACTCGGTTATAATTCTAACATGGACTGTCCTGTCGAGCCCATCTATTCCCATGAACACCAATCTTGACAAGGCATCGGCCTTGCAATTCTCAGCCCGAGAAATTTTCATAATTTCACAACTGCTGAACTTTCTCTGGAGATTATGCACTTTCAAGCAGTATAAGCTCATCTTCTCGTCCTTCCTATCAAACGTCCCTTCGATTTGTCCAACCACCAACTGCGAATCACTGCAAATTTTGATATTTTCAAGCTCAAGATTTATGGCGAGCTCCATGGCTATGATGAATGTTTATGAGCATGTCCGGGCTTATGATTATGACTCCTACGCCCGAGCCGGAGGAGTTTGATGCTCCATCTACGAAAATTTGCCACACACCTGTGGTTGAGCTCGAGCTACCATCTAGCCCCCAAGGCTTTAGGGTGAGTTCTGCAATAAAGTCAGCTAAGGCCTGAGCTTTGATAGATGGACGGGGCTTGAACTCTATGTCAAATTCTCCGAGTTCAATTGCCCACCTCAGTAATCTTTCTGAGACGTTTGGTTTCTGAAGAATATGTTTTAGAGGCTGATTGGTGAGCACTACAATTGGATGTGACTGAAAATATTGCCGAAGTTTTCGTGCTGCCACTATCAGTGCAAGGACAAGTTGTTCTGCCAAATTGTATCTTGTTTCTGCATCAAGTAGGACTTTACTTACGTAATAAATGGGTTACTAGAACCTGTTAACCTCTTTCATCAAGACACCACTTACTGCATTCTGAGATACGGCTAAGTATAAATACAGAGTATCCCCGGGCTCGGGTTTTGTGAGGATAGGAGGAGATTCCAATGTCTGCTTGAGCTCTTGAAAAGCCTTCTTGCATTCTTCATTCCATTCAAAGCAATGATTTCCCCTCAGGGCTTTGAAGAAGGGGAAGCACCTGTCTGCTGCTCGGGACATGAACCTGTTTAAGGAAGCTACCCTGCCTGTCAACTTTTGAACCTCCTTCTTGGTCCTTGATGATTCCATTGCTGCTAGAGCCTGAATCTTGTCGGGGTTGGCCTCAATCCCTCGATGAGTGATCATGAAACCCAGAAACTTTCCTGAAGCTACACCGAATACACACTTCTCCCGGTTGAGCTTCACTTTATATTTTCGTAGGGTGACGAACACCTCCTCTAGGTCGGATATGTGTTCCTCTACCTTCTTACTCTTTACAACCATGTCGTCCACATAGGCCTCGATGTTCTTCCCTATCAAATCGACGAAGACTTTGCTGATGAGCTCTGATATGTCGACCCAGCATTTTTCCATCCAAATGGCATCACCCTATAACAATATATGGCTGAATCAGCCATGAATGAAGTCTTCTCTTGGTCTTCATTGGCCATGAGGATTTGATGATACCCTGAGAATGCATCTAAGAAGCTGTACAGTTTATGTCCGGATGTGCTATCCACAAGATTATCAATCCTAGGTAGCGGGTACTGTCCTTTGGGCATGCCTTATTAAGATCTATGAAGTCAATGCAGACCTTCCATTTACCACTGGCCTTTTTTACCAGAACAACATTCGCGAGCCAATCGGGGTATTGGACTTCCCTTATGAACCCCGCTCCCAACAATTTGCCGACTTCTTCCTGGATGACCGCACGCCTTTCTGGCGCAAACTGTCTCTTCCTTTGCTTAACAGGTTTGGCCCCTGGGCTGATATTGAGTTTATCGACAGCTACTTCTGGATCTATCCCTAGCTTATCCTCCACATTCCATGCAAAAACATCAATGTTGCGGGATAGACAATTGATGACTTCCTCCCAGAGGATATCCTTGAGATCTCGATCAATAGTAACGGGTTTTCCTTGCTCAAGCTCGACCACTTCCAATCCCTTAACGGAGGCCAATCTACCCCTTGGCTCGAGCTCGAGGTCTGAAAGTTGCATGACATCTGCACTCATTCTTCGAATGCTAGTAACATAGCATTGTCTGGCAGCTGTTTGGTCTCCTCGAACTACTCCGATGCCATGACCTGTGGGGAACTTCATGGCAAGGTGGAAAGTTGGCACAATAGTCTGGATCTTATTCAATAGGGGTCTTCCCAGAATAATCTTGTAGGCCATTGGGGTATTAACCACTTGGAATGGTATGATCTCCGTCACTTGTGTATTACCAGTTCCTAATGTAAGCAGGAGCTCGATGATGCCCTCAGGGACAATGACTCCACCACCAAATCACCGCAGAGGAGTTTTTACTGCTTTGAGCTGTTTGGGAGAGATCCCCATTTTGGCGAAAGCCTCCTGCAAGAGTATATTGGCTGCACTCCCATTATCAACCAGGATCCTCTTTACTTCGAAGTTAGCCACAACCGCAGAGACAACCAAGGCATCGTCATGAGGATATGATATTCCTTCCAAATCTCTTGCTCCAAAAGTGATGTCTTTGACTTCATCATGGGATTCCCTTGGGGTTCGAGCATGTTGGCGGGCATACTGCTTTCGCCCACTACTTGTGTCTCCCCCGGATGCTATGCCCCCAACGATAATATTAATGGTCCCAAGAGTAGGTTGAGCACTGCTTCTGGTTCCAGGATCTTTCCGATTGTCACGGTCATTCCTTAGTCATTTATCATGACCAATGTAACTCTTTAAAAATCCTCTTTTGATAAGGGCTTCAATTTCTCGCTTTAAAGCATGACAATCTTCTGTAGTATGCCCATGATCCAAGTGAAATTCACAATACTTGCTCATATCTCTTGTGTCAGGGGGTGACTTCATCCTTGTAGGCCACTTTAATTCTTTCATATCTTTAACCTCCATCAAGATGTTTGTCTTAGAGGTGTTCAACCGAGTGAGAGGTGCCGACGGCGCCTCATTCCTGCGCTTATCCCGGGAAAGCTCATGTCGAGGGACGGGATCATGTTGCCTCTTGTTCTCGATCTTTTCATGGGAAGGACCAGGTCTCCTTGGATTTAGTGTTTTCTCCATATTTATGTATTTTTCAACTCGGTCACTATCTGTGGTGGGGTCTTTGATAAATACATTTTGAAGGCCTCACACCTTATGGCATAGGTGAGGCTGGAGACAGCTGTTGTGATGTGGAGGTCGGGTATTTGAAGCCTTTTCTTGTTAAATTTTATCATAAAACCTCGTAGGGTTTCATTCGGCCCCTGGCGTAGTTGCATAAAGGAGGCTGTGGTCTTCTTGATTCGCTTGCTACTTGCAAAGAAGGCTGATAACTTATCAGCCAAATCTGAGAATGAGGCTATGGAGTTGTGCTCCAATGTCGAGAACCAATCCCTAGCAGCATTAGTCAGCGTTTGTGGAAAAGCTTTGCACATAACCTGATCTGGCATAACTTGCAAGTTCATGACATCAGTATATACATTAAGATGGTTAATGGGGTCGGTCGTCCCATCATACTCTTTAATGCGAGGATATTTGAATGGGATATGACAATATCTCTGGTGTGAATGGAGTGTTAGGGGTGAAACCCGTTGGTCCCCGCGCATTCCGTTGAAGGCCAGCTGTAGTTCATTCTTGAATGATCCGGGCAATTCCACCGGAATCCATGGCAACCGATCTCGACCCCGAGGCCATATTGAGAATACTCGAGGTTCCTACTCCGCCAGTTGTGGGGTTTGGTGGTCGTGCTCGAGCATTAGTCATGAAACTGACATGCTCTGCCTACGCTGGCGACAGATGTGAATTTCTTTGACTTAACAGTTGCGTGAGCGTGGCCACCTGCTGACGGAGCTCTTTAAAGGCTTCAGTTATGATGACCGCTGGTAGAGGTGCGGGCACTCCTGACGATTATTCATGAGGAGTCGATTGATCTTAGGCAAGTTGAGGGATGGGAGCTGATGAGCTTGCGGGAGGAAGACCTAATCGTGTGTTAACCATGGCTTTTGGTAGCGCTTCCCACAGACGGCGTCAATGATGCTACCAAAAATCGTACCTGCAGATTTTTCGAGCTTGATGATTCGGATTGAGCACGATCATAGTCTTCCGGTACCTGAAACAAAGGCAACGAGATATGTTCTCGTCGCCCCTCCGATGTTTAAGTCAGAAAGGGAACTATATGCATGAAGCTATAAGTTGAAGAATAATGAAAAACGTACCTGAATAATGGGTCAAGGTTCTATATTTATAGTAGTAGTGGGACTCAACTAGCTGGATGTCCTTATCTGTTGGAGTCATGTACAATTAAGGAGTTGGTCAAATACCATAACTATATGTGGGATAGAATCCTTGCGAGAGCCAAGTATATGGTTGAGTTAGAGTCCTAATTGCATAGGAATTCTAAAGGGTCCACAATCATAGGTTGTAAGGGAAGCATATGCTCGATGACTACTTATGCTCGAGGACAAGTATCGCAATATGTAAAGCGGCTGACAGGAAGTGGTCGGGCATAATACCCCAGGGTGATCATATGCTCGAGCACTCCATACATGGAATTGCAAGTTCATCAAAAATTGGTCGTCGGGATAATATAGTAATCGGGTTGCAGATAATGTCAGTATCAGCTAATTGTACTTAATTTTTTGTACATTAAGGTATTCATATACTCACATGGGATAAGACCTGCTCGAATATTCACATGTGGTTCGAGCAGGTCCCACCTCATGTGAATGTGGGACACTTTAATGTACGAAAAATTGTTTACACCAAGCAAAGTCCTTCAAAAAATTACATGAAATTGATGTATCCATTCACAAAATACATTAAAGTTCGACGAATAGTTTCAATCTTGAAATAGTCGTATCAATCTACCCGATGGTTCATCTTCTACACGGGTGAGTCCGTACCTCAATTACAAATTATATGCTAGAAAAACAGGGCCACTGTTTCTTGGGGGGATGTGTCCCCCTGGCCCTGATTGAGAAGAATGAATGTACAAATTAGCAGAAAAATACCTTGTAAAGTTTATTATGAGAAGGACAATGATCCACGTGGGGTCTTGCCAGATTAGAGAGTGGTGGGGGTGGGTCCCACAATTTGCCGAGCCCGACCCCAAATAGTAAGAGGCTTGCGAGGCTCCTATGAACCGAGCTCCTGTACGTGAACCTCGGTCCGAATGAGAATTGCCCAGTACAAAACCATCATAATGCTAAAAGCAAATTAAAATTTTCATTTATACGGTACAAAAATAAAAGAAAACAAAACATAAAAAAAAATTCACACCACCATCAAGAGAGAAGTTCCATTGTTCAGTTTATGGCTCAACAGGCCTGTGATTATTGTAATCCCAGTCTTTAAGATCAGAACTTACGGAGAATCTGAACCATCCTTTTTTCTCACTGTACCTTAAACAAGGCTCTAGAACAAGCCCTACAACTACGGCCAAGAGGCTAAGAACCATTACTTTGAAAGATGCCATAGCCAGGACCACCAATATCAAAATGCTTGGAGGAATACACAATAGAATTGATCCAGTGATACCTAAGGGAATCTTGTAAGGTCGAGACGCTGCCGGGTACTCCATTCTTAGCCTGATGAAAGCTATGAATTCCATTATCATTCCAAAACAGTAAAGAAAGTTCTCCGCAGCAACAATCTCTTGAAAGCTTAGCCATGAAAGCAATATCACGCCTGATGCGGAAAACAAAATCCCGAGAAGAGGAGTTCCATAGCAAGACCTCTTGGCAAAACACGCAGGAAGCATTCCGCGTTCAGCCATCCCAAGAAGTTGAAATGAATCACTGCTCATCTCAGCCACAAACATCCCCATGTTTGATAGAGCCGACGCTCCTTCAATCCAAAATCTCAACCATACCCCACCAAGAATTTTTGCTATGTCGGAGAAATAACCATCACTCCACAGTTCACGATCAAGGGGAACAGCTCCCGTTCCAATGAGAAGGGGGAAAAAGTATCCAAGTACGACCAATATAAGAGCGTAGAATAGAGCCTTGGGGAGTGTTCGGCCAGAATTTTCAACCTCACCAGCTAAAGTACTGATTGAATCCCAATAATTTAAATTCCAAAATAGAGTATTTAAGTACAATCCCCAGTCCACATTGTTCAAATCCAGCACCAACCATCTTGAAGGCTTCAATTTAGGAATAGCTATGAGTCCCATAAACAAGAAAGGAAGTAGAGAGAACACACCTAACAATATAGCAACCCATCCAACTATGGTCATGCCCCTGTAGTTCATGTAAGTGAGTGCTAAAGTCAGAACAAGAACTGCTATAATCCGAGGGATGCCTTCTGCCAAGATCGGAAAACCAGATTTCAGATAATCTAGAAACAAAACAGGATACAGAGCATTGTCAATAACTCCACTTAGCCACTTCATCCACCCTTGCTGAAATCCCCAGTAAGGACCTAAAGCTGATGAAACCCAAACTACATATCCTCCATTCTCGGGGAACATCGTACCCAATTCTGCAGTTATTAGGGCTTCTGGTAAACTCCATATCAAGGGGAAAACTAGAAAGCCAAGCAAGGCTAAAAGAGGACCAGCAGCCTGGACACTATCTTCCACACCAAAAGGTCCTCCAGAGACCTCATAAAATATCAGAAAAACGAGGGGTAGAATTGAAACTTTATTAAAGCTCTGTAACTTGGGAGAGACTCCATCCTCCAAACCAACATACTCAGTATTATTGTCTTCCCTCATCCGAATAGATGTTAGCTTAGCAGAAGAAGCCCTTTGTTTCTATGTGCAATATATAAATTGAAAGTATTTTCTAGTTAGCTTAGCAGAAGAAGCCCTTTGTGGGGATGATTTACAATGTGAAGGAGAGTGATACTAACCATGAAAAGTTAAGGAAGAAGCTGCCTTTGTGACTGCGTGTCATTCTTGTAGAAAACCACGTGTCCGTTTATCCAAACTACTTACAATTAGTGTGCATCGTGAGAGAGAGCTTGTCGGTGGCGGTCGAAGCTGCAGTTCTGCAGATTCCGATCCAAACATATAGAATAAATATATATTTAAAAAAATTGTGGTTAAAATAAGCCATGTTTGACTCCCATTAATTTAAAATTAATTTTTTTCTCTTCTTGTCGATCACACATTTTTAATAAAATAATATTATAGATAAATCTAAAAAGATTTCCTACTTTTTTAATGACCAATTTTTCAAAAAATTACTATTATTTTTATTATAATTTAAAATAATAGAGCCCAAATAGGGCTAAAATTGTTTATTAAAATATGCTACATGTATACATGCCCCACGTGTGGGGATGTACAATGGAATTACCCTTGAGAAATTCTTAATTTTGCGTTTCAAAAATAAATTTCCATTTTGAGGGGGTTTTAATGTAGGACTAAGCTCCTCTACTAGAAAAAAAAGTGACAGAGGCCTACTGACTTTTACATTAAGAGATGGGCCCACTTTTTCCTCCCAAATGTTTAATCATGGGGGCTCAGCATTGTGAGAGGACGTCAAAGTCTCTATCACCCATTTTTCTTGCAGAGAGACGTTTTCTTTTAGCCCTTGGTTGAGCCCTATTTTGGGGGAAAAAAATACATTTTTCAACAATATTTTGACATCATTTCAATCACACGTTCTTCAATAAAATAATATTACATGCAAATTCAAATTTTTTCTTTATTTTTTAACCACACATTTATTATCAATATACTTTTTGAAAATACATTTTTTCTCCCAAAATGGGGCTCAAATAAGGACTTAATGTAAATATCTAGTTGGGTAGGCTATTTCTCTTTTTTTAATTCAAATCAGATTGACTAAAATACAATCAAACCGGCTTATTGGTCTGTCCAAGTGGTAATATATGAGATGATCGCTCGCTCTGATTACCATTAGAGGAAATTATACCTTCCCAGGACTTTCAATTTCACTGTGCGTAAATCATGTGTCCAACTTTTCTAGTCAAATATTCGGTATTAGATTAATAAAAAAAACCACTTATTTAAAATAAGTGCGATTCCGTAGTTAACGTGCTTCAAATCTAATCTTTCTTCATTCTCTATCAAACGAGAGAAACTGCCCCCAAACTTCCCCCACAATCTCTGATAAACCACTCCGGCAGTTACCAACCCCATGAATATCTTCGGTTAGTTATCCCACTCCGGCCTGTTGAGGAACTAATCTTCGTCACATACACAAAGCGAACTGAGTACATTCTTCGTCTACCCTGTCATTCTGTGAAAAAACTTCCCATTTTACAGTCGACAAAAAAATGACTAAATCCAAGGCGATAAACGTCCATGTCATGCCAAAAAGATAGGAAAGAGGATGTATGAGGAAAGCCCAACGAAATCCCATATGAAAAAGTATGCGGCGTCATCTGTGACTTGTGAAAAGTCCAATCGAACATGGTATGTTAATTTTTGTGTTCTGTTAATACATTAAGTAATGGGTATTAATTGAATAGTCGTTGGGTGACATGTATTGAAAACGTATTGAAGTTCTGTGACCTTGAAATCTGTTGAATTTGTTCCGTCGTTGGAATGGGGTTGGGTTGGCGATTTTGAACGCAAAATGCTTGTTCATTTAATTTTTCGCTTTGGATGTTACAAATAATCTATTGTTTATTCACGAATATGCATGTATTGGGAATCTGTGACGTGAAAGCATATGGATATGATTGCTTGTGGCCTTACTGTAATGGGGATAGGGCTCTGAATGTGATCTTAATATGTAAATGAGACTGAAGTTTGTTGTGAATATGTAACCTGAGTGAAAAGACTTTGTATGCTTGTGATCTGACTGTTAACATGGTTGATGATGTGTTTTTAGCCATACGATGTCCATGTGTGATTATTTCACCTATATGTGACCAAGTCTTCTGAATGCGAAGATACTCACATGTACAAATACTACTTTCTATCACAATTGTGGCTCTAATGGTTAAAGACCAAACCAAAGTTAAAAACGAATGAAAAATATATGTCTAGGCTCTCATGTTTAACAACTGACATTTGGGAAGGGTGTCCTCAGGTTGATGTTGCATGATCTCTGCTTCATAAGACATGTGATTCATAGTGGGATATGAATTGGGCCCCATGTGTTTATTCCTGTCCCATGATCACTTGAAAATTTATATAAAAGTTGCTACTTCTAATTCTTAACAGGGTTTCATCTGACTATCACCTTAATTTGTGAATGTGACTGAAACCTGTTGGGAATATGTGACCTGAATGAGAAGACTTTGTATGCCTGTGAGCTGACTGTTAACATGGTTGATGACGTGCTTTAGTAATATGATGTCCATATGAGACCATTTCACATATATGAGACCTGAATTTAACCTATATGTGACCATTTCACCTAAATGCATTTCATTTTCTCTGTCTCTGAATTACAATGCAGGTACTTAACAATTTTATAATTATTAATGCTTTATGTAGGCCAGGCAATTCAAAATACCATAAAAAAGTTGGTTTATTGGCAAGATTACCACCTCTGTGTACAAGGGTGTTCTCACCACTATACAATCAAAGTTAAGTCAAAGCCAAAAAACAGATATTGAGGGGCACATGCTTTGCTCACTTCCTGGATTGCCATGAAATAGTGATTCAACCACGGTTGATTCACTACTTCCTTCTGAGGCATGTTCATCACCTAAATGAGGAAGAATTAAGGTTGTTTCCAGGCAATACGTCAGGTTCTCTATATCTGAGTTCTGTTTGGTCACAAGACTGAGATGTTCAGGCGATACAGATACTTAGGTTTTTGAAAATAGGCAGTCAAAATTGAAGGCCAAATACTTTCCACAAGTAGAGGCTGTCACACATGAAGATGTGAAGGACACATTTCTATCTGCATGCCAAATGCCTGACCTCGATCTGGTTGAAGACAATGACGTTGCAATGTTCGGGATTTTGTATTTCCTAATTGCCTATCTCTTTCCCCGTGACTACAAGAAGGTTGTCGACCACTTCCTGTTAGTTCTCATTAAGGACTTTAATGAAATGAGCAGTTTTTCATGGGGCAAGCTACTATTCCAAATTACTCTGGATGCATTGAGAGATGGACTCAGCAGGATAACCCCATACTATAGGCTACGAGGAATACTTGTAGCCTTCCAAGCATGGATATACGAGACTTTTTCCAGTCTTGATGGCATCGTGGTCACAAGGATATCGAGGGTTGCATCCCCGCATTGTAAACTAGATGGCAGACAAGCAACCATCAGCTGCCAAATTGGAAGGTCCCGACTTCTTCTCCAATCCTAAGGTAAAGTTCCAGTCAGCGTCATGTAATCAATACCGAACTTTTGACTTTGCATTCATATAAACTACATATTGTATTGCAGATTGTGATTTGTGACTTGAAACTGTTGGAAAGTGAAATGGAGATGCCATACATGAACGGAGTCCAGTACAACAAGCCAATCCAATTGACGTCCTCATTCGAGAACTGAAGAAGAACCATGCACAGGACGGTGAGGTCTGTTGAAGATGTTGGTACTAGCAGAAAGTCTGTTTCATCAGTCCTACTGTTGATGGACAGTAATATTGGACAAGCTCACTCTTCAGATGATGATGACGATTTTGTTGCTCCTCCTCCAAGACGGCAGGAGCCATCTGCCCATGGAAAATCTCCGATTTTTGAAGGTCCATCAGTTGCTCATCATTCTCAAGAAAAGCCACAATCTCATGGGGCACAATGGGATGACGTAAGTTGTTATGTTAGTCAGCTCTCAATATTTCTATCATTGGTCACACATCAATATTTTCTATGTCACATTTCATACACATCAGGTCACATATATATCAGTGTGCATTATATGTTGATGGTTGGTCACAGATATGTCGCAAGCAACATATAATAATCGATTATTCATTTTTGTTAAGCTTTTGAGAAGTTGCATGTGCAAGTATCCGAACTCCAGGCGGGTAATAAAGTGTTGTATGGCATCCTTGATTGAAGGGAAGACTAACAAAATGGATGACATTGTACAAATGCAAGCCTGTATTAAAAGTGACTTGATGGATATTCGAACGAACATGCAGTTTCTATCCAAGTCTGTGTCAACAATGATATCCAGTGCAGTGGACAAGATCATTAGACGGTCTGACGACAAGACAAGTGAGCGTGGAGTAGGACAAACAGAAGCTCCTGGAGTTGGAAATCAGGAACATCATGGGGCTGGTGGATCTGACAAGGCTCAGAGGTAATCACTTGATATATTTCACATTTCTGTAAAAGAACATAGTTTATTTTGACATTTCCATTCAACATGTAGGTGGAAAACGTGGTATCAAACGTCGACAGAAAAGGGAAGGGCAAAATGGACCCAAGTGATGATCTTCTCTTCTCCCTTGAGCCACCATCATTTGATTTGGGGATTGAATTCACCCCATCCAGTGTCTTGCATTCGGAGGAAACTCAGAAAAGGATAGATTCCATCATATCTGATATGGTGACGGCAACAAAGACTGTTGAGAATGAGGTATTTACATATTCCAGTAGTTGTAGATCTCAAATCACACGTACCTCCAAACCATGTTATATTATTAGGTCACAGATTACACACACTTCAGATCATTCATATTCATAAGTTACATTTCACAGACATTCCTAACCATGTCCCTTTTATAGGTAACAGATCACACACAATGCCAACACATGTTCCAATCATAGATCACAGAGTACAGATACCTTCAAACCATGTCCCATTCATAGATCACAGATCAAACACAGTTCCAAACCATGTCACATTCTCAGATAACAGATCACAGATTCCTTCAGCCCATGTCCTATTCATAGGTCACAGATAACATAGATTCGAAACCATGTTATATTCATGGGTCACAGGCCACACATCCTTCCAAACTATCTTCCAATCATATGTCACATATCACAAACACATTCAGACTAGGTCACATGTATAGGTGACAGACCACACACGCTTACAAACTATGCCACAAACAGCTCATGTGCTGTATTTTCAATCAATTTGTAACCTACTGCAATAACATACAGGGATCACCTACTGCTGA